CATGCCAGTACTCTCAATCGAAAGAATACTGTCTGATGATGATGTTTCTTGCATATTTATCTATAATTTTATGAATAGTGAGTAGATGGAATGTCTGTGAGCGTTAGATTCTCTGCTTTCAGGTCATTCTCATGCTTCTGAGAAGAAAATAAAAAGGTATGATATGCTTATAAAGAGTATTTGTGGATATTAATGCTTGTATTGATTACAGGGGATATAGGGTAACACTTTATTCTCACAAATTAGATTGTTTGCAAACTGAAGCTACAAAGCAGTTATGAGCTGTTCTGCTGCTTACGTGTTCTCATGACGAATCTCCCCAAGCTTTGCCAATTAGTTTGCACATGCCAAACGTTCGCGTTTGCTGACAGTACGCGAATATTGATCTGATTATTAACTGCATTCGCTGGAGGAGGAGGAACTGGAAGAATTCATTCTTTATGTTACACAAGATTCATCGACTCACATGATGACTGCATGTCATTGAGATTATGTCTTGTCTCTTCAACGAGAACAAATTCGTTTTCATCAGCTGTTGCTCGGTTCGTCCTCAGCAATATCTAGGAGAACTAAGTGCTAGGCACGTTGATTCATAATATTACCTGTTTTATTATGTCGTTCGCTGTTGAATGAACACTTGTTCTCAGTATTGAATATGGTAAGTCTTCAGTGACATTATGCACACATACCAAAAAAGTATCTCCCATCGATCGAGTACGTGGTTTTAGCCCTTCAAAGGTTGTATGTTATAATGCAATTGTAAACTAACCGTCAAAGACGTCTAGATGTTCATTTATCTCAGTATCGAAAGATCTTCCGTGTAATTGCGAACTTGATGCGCTTTTGACATCGAGCTTAGAATGAGGTAAACTGATTGTTCCACTTTTAAGTTTTGAAGTTATGAGTGCCCTCTCTATCCACGCCGTGGTAGTGTCCTGAAATGAAGTGTGAACACAGTTCAAATCTGAAGGCATTACGTTTTTCTTCCTCAACGCAAGACGTCGTTGAAGACCATTCCAACCAGTTACACACTCCATAACAATATCATCAGGTTGTAGAACCTAAATCAATAAATTGTTCATTCCGTTCGGTGATGTTTCAGAACCTTTGTTTCCGACTGAGAATCGCTCGATGGTTGATTGGGAATCGGCTCATCGACCAAAAAAAAATCATCAGCTATTGCTTTTTTCCCGGTTAATGATAAAGCCTGAACAGGAAAAACTGATTTTCATATTGACCCTCACTACCTGTCGAATTGCTGTTCTCACGGTTGTTTCATCACAACAATGAACAGAAACATATCTATTCTTCCGGAATGTGATGAATACTTGAAGCACATACACTTTTTTCTTTGACACGTTGAAACTAAACCGATGAGTGTTCTAGAATTCACAAAATTAATGCTGTTTGAATTGTTGTGTTTCCCACCAAATCAGAATGAAATTCTTGCGACTTCATATCTTGTAGTTCTTCATCGTTATACAGATAAATGTGATCCTCTTGTTCGAAACGAGTACTAGAAATATTTAACATAAGCAAATTTGAAAGAAAACCTCACTGCAGGAAAATAGATGAATAATCAGACATTTGCAGCATTTGCGTTCTCAGTGGTAAATGTCGGTAGCCAGGACGGAGTCTTTTGACAGGTACACATCTCTGGCTAACCATTCGATTGTTTGTGCTGAAATGAGAAAAGAATTATAAAAAATTGGAAGGCATTGCGAAAATTGAACCTTTCTACTATCGAAATGCGCAAAAAGCACAGATCAAGAAAAATTATTCTGAATGTTATATTGAAGTTCCAAACAGGATTGACTGTGTTCTTCTGTGAAACCTTTAGCTTCTCCTGAAAAGCAACACTTTTTAGATAATAATCGAATGACTTACTTTGACGCAATCCACCGGCAAACCATGCAATTCAACTTCCAGGTGCACAGCGCCATTAAAATTACCAGGCCAAACAAATTGGCCAGAAATAATCTGAATCTGAATTTTAAATTTGACCTCTCATTTTTTATCACATTTAGATGCAGAATGTATGCCGTATGCATTGATAAACGCCTCGTTTGAAGAGGTGAAAATTGGTTGTGAAGAACATGACTGTCATCCCACATTATTCTTGGTTTTAAAACATATCTGCAAAAAAAAGAGAAAGAAATTGGAGAAAATCGCTGTTAAGTAAACCCTTTATCTTGAGATTCTTCAAACATGGCATAGTTAAGAGCCATCGCTTTGTCCGGCGTTTGGTAGTTTAACGCGACCATCTAGAAGTAACGCAAGTTCTCTTGGATCACGTTATTACTCCTCACCTGCATTCCGTGGATCCAACAACTGATGGGACTGAAGTTCGAAGAGTCATAGTGTTTAGCAGATGGGTAGGCACGAACCATCTATTGAAAAGTCGATTTGAGATAACTGAGAAGAACAACTCACATGCTCTTTGGTATATTGAATACTTTTCGAGGATCCCCGCTTCACTAATCTTTTGACGATTGTTTCATTTAGAGACATTACCTGCAGCAGAATTATCTCTGGTTCCGAATTCCTACTAATTTTGAAACCTTATAGCATGAGGCATTAGCGTTCGGACAGTTTAACATAAAAGGCCTATTGAGTTGTTGACTTGAATCTGCTCTAGAAAGAGATGTTGGTGTGCTGAGATTGCTTCCATTCTGACATCAGAGTTTACAATAGTTGCTAATTAAATGATTAGATTCACCTGAGTAGTTGCTTGATTACATCTTAATAGCTTGGTGGAGCTTATAGAAGATGGTGTTATTCCCAATGTAATGGTAGGGTTTCCATTTTCCATTTTAGGGAACGCCTGAGGTAAAAAAATTCAAAACTCTGTTATTTTATAAGATAACTTTGTGCTTTGAAGCCTGCAGATAAATAACCAGATCTGACCAAACAGGAGCTATTTGATTCGAACCAAAGCTGCTCGATTTCGGACGCGTTGTTGGGCGACCACTAAATGATCCTGATGTCCCTAAAGGTCCTTGCGAAACAATCGACTCGTCTTCTGATCGGAGTGATACTTGGGTTTTGCTCTAAAATAGGATATAATTTTTCTATCCTGCCCAGTTCACCTTGGAAAAAAAGAAATTTTTTCCTTCTTCCGCACATTCTTGACCAACTAAAAGGTCTTGTTCACTCATTTTTTCATTGCTCATTTCTTCCTTCTTCTTCTTATCATCGTTTTCGTGACCTTAAAAAAATCTCGAGTTTACATTTAATTTTCTAAAACACACAGAAATTATCGCTGTCAGAAGAATTTTTATCGGCTTCATCTCCATATTCTCCATCATCTTCGGAGGAATCATCAGAGCAGCTACTACTGCAAACCAATATAATCTATCCTACATTAAATAATTACCTCGATTCCAAACTCATTTTCGCCACAAGATTGAGAGGCTCCTTGCATACTAATAATGGCAAAGGCGGAAATAGATCTTCTGAGAAACATTGATGGAAAAAATTAATATATAACAATAACAGACCAATTATTTTCTTATCTTTGATAAGGATCCTGTTTTTCAGTTGAAGTGGTGACGGTAAACGTGGGTGATCGGCAAAATCTTCTTCATACAGAAAATTTGTGACAAGACTATCTCCGAACACAGCCTATTTTAACATCATGTCAAAGTTAATATAGTTCAAACTCACTCGAAACATCTGAGCCATTAAAACTTGTTGTTCCACAGAACAATGGTTCTCAATTGATAGTATTACTGGTAAATCAGATTTTTCAAAAGCTGATTTCTTGATGGCATCGAGAACTTGTCGCAAAGATATCTTGGTAACAAGCGTATGTCCATGGTAAACAACTGGGAAACCATCGTCACCATCCCAGCAATCCAGTTCCACACACCGGCATCCAGTTAACAGTACTTGACGATACATTTCTGGACTACTAAGGCCTCTAAGCTGGTGCCCAGTAATATATGTGTTGTGACTTGAATTTATAAAATAGTGCGATAAGGGATGTTGAAGGTCTTCATCCCTGTATGCTCCCTCATCGAAGGAAAATGCTAGATTATTTGGATCAGTAAGATATCGGAAGAATCCTTCAAAAGACAACTGGTTGCGAGATCTCAAATACGCATCTGGTTCATGTAACTGTATGAGCTGAATCACAGCATCGTCGTCGAGATTTTCAAGCTGTTGTGTATTAATGAATATTTTGAAAACACTCGCTGTCATAAGTGCTGTTCGGGAAGTATCCAGGAATCCATAAGAACTTAAAATATACATATATACCGCCTATTTGACAAACTAACCTATTGATGCTAGCAATAGCCATTGCGTTGTAAATCTTTCTCTGTTTCTCATCCATAAAATATGGTTCAGCTTCACAGTTCCTTGTGAGAAAAACTAAAATAATGTAATAGTTTTTGACGAGAATGAAAATATACCGTTTGGAAGAAAGACATCTGCCCACTCCTGCGAGCTTAGTTTGTTTTGAGCATAATCTTTTTTCGGCTGCACGTTGTAAGTAACATTAGAAGCTATGAAATCATTGAAGAGATCTCTGAGAGAGAGAATGTGAAGTCAGGTGATAATCAAACAGTTACCGCAGTTCTTTCCTCATTCTCGTTATCATGAGCTTATACATTTCGACAAACTCATGGAAATTCATTGATTTCTCTTGAATCTCTTTACCAGTCGGTCCACTAAGCTGTGACCCCAAATTAGATACTTGGCCACTACTGCTTACAGAACCACTGTTCGGAGTTTCGCCTCCTCGCGAACGCCATGAACGCACTGATCTTCCACCAAGGGATTTACCTGTAGCCAATAATGTAGGCCTAAAACGCTTGAGTTAAGCTTCTTACCTCCATATGAACTGCTAGTTGGTGTTCTACTTCTAGGAGTATAAACGCTTTCATTATCGCAAGGCTCGCTTATTGCAGTTTCACATCTGGGTTTCAATAGAGAGGCAGAGCCGTTGGCAGTTCCAGATTGCAGTGACATTTGTGATTTGAGCGATGGTGGCCTCACTTTAGAACTTATTTCGTTGACCCGAGTGAAAAAGTCCATTACTGAATACTGGACAACGCTGGGAGGTGGAGTTGTTTCTCTTGAAGTGCCTAGCAATTTTCTCTGCACAGCATTCTTGAAATTTTTGAATCTGATAAAATCAATGATGGGATAAATCATATCTTATATACTTACCTGCTCTTGGCTCCCCCTCCATTCTCACTCGAATTCAGTGAATCATTTTGCTTGTAGCATGATTGAGCAAGACCTAAACCTTTCCAGTGCTCAACTCTTCCTCCAAATGCTTGCAAAGCTTCGTAAGGCTTCGGTCCTAGATGCCTTCGATTATCAGGATCTGGAGTACTTTCACGGTATAGTTGAAGGTACAGTTGCTTAAGCCACATCATCCTACGATCGACGTAATCAAACTGTGAATGGAAAAGGGTGTTCATCTGATTAACAAAACGAATTTTTAGTCTATATGCAAACAGTTACCCTCGATAAACCATCAATCCAAAGATTAGAAGTAGCCATTGGTGCCAAGAAAAACAAGTGATCACAAACTCCAAACGATAAACTGTAGCATATTTTAAAGCCAAATATGGGAGCATTCATCTCTTCACCATGGTGACGTCGATAAATACTCTGAATAGGGTTGTTCGATGATAGCCATGCAATAGTTAAAGGTAACCTCTATATCATATAAATAGCCATCCACTTTCTCGATATCTTTCATGAATAAGAGTTTGAGTTCTCCCTCTTCCACTCCAAAATTAACAACGTTCGGCTGCGGCGGAAACGTCCAGATGCCATGCTTATGATTTTCAATTGTGGCGGACAGAGCTGCTGCTGCAGACTTGGACAACTGATCGACCTTCAAAAGCGTTGTAAACAAACAAAAACTAAAATGAGACCTTGTTAAGCTTTCCTCCGTTCACTGGAATGACTTCTGAGCGACGCCAATATATGGAAGAGTTGCTGGCATCCAAGTACAGCATAATCATGCAGCTTCGACCACTCTCAGGATCGAATTGAATCAACTTGAAGAAAGTTTACAATTGTAAATGATTGGAATTGTATTTCAAACTGACAGTTGTCCCATGATGCATCCTTTGAAGAAAATCCAAGTCGAATGTTGATGAGTTGACCTGACAAAGTGATACTCCATGGGCAGCCCCAGGAATAATGACAATTGGTTCATAAGCTGAAAAAGATTCTTATCAGAGCTGTCACCTACTGGTTCTATACGTTTAGACTCATCTTCACTAAGAACTTCTTCTCCGATCTGTTCATCAACGCGGGACAACAAGCTACGATGATGTTTGTGGTATATTTCAATGTTACCCAGAACTGAAAAAAGTTGATGAATATATTGTGATTTTGCATACCTGTAGCAACGCTGTTGACTTTCTCTGAGTTCAAAAGACCGCACACTCCAATACTGGAACAGAAATGGTCCTCTGAGTTGTAGTCATAAAGAAACTGGAAGAACAGATCATTTTTCCGCGCCATTTTTCGAACAGCTGACCTCTAGCCGCAATTTTTGATCTTCGTTCCCGATCACAACAATATCTTGTAGTTCGTGTGAGATCGCATAAAGATCTCTGTAATAATATAGCTCAAAGTACAATACAAAATGTATTATCTGACCTAAGAAAAACACCAAAAAATGGTATAATTCTACTTTGAGGCATACGGAGCGCTTTTTTCACCAAAGAAATGTAATCGGAATGAGGCTCAGAGTTCAACAAAGGCATTAATTTGTCACAGAGCTTGAAAATACAATTGTTTCTTGCCAGTATGCATTTCTTCACCTCGTCGCAATGTTTTTTCTCATCATCGCGTAGTGATAACCAAAAAGGACGTAGTTTATCACATTTAAGTCCAATGAGTAGTTCAATTGCTCCATTCACATTACCTTAAAAATTGATTAAATAAACTCAATTTCACTTCTAACCAATAATCCATGATGCATCAATAACCCTCTGGATAGCATATAGCATATTTTTCCGTTCTTCATGAGATGGTTGGCAAATGATCAAATGTGTTATCCATGAACTAACCTAAAAAAATGAGAACAATAAATATATTCTTAGCTATGTTTTGAAAATTACCTCGCTTAGTCTTTTGACCAAATCACATACATTACTTGGATTTTCTTTAACTGGTATCGAAGTTAGGTCACAACTTACATATCTCACATATTCGATAGGATTGACTGAGTAAAAGAGTTTATACTCTGTTTGAGACAACTGAAACGAATAGAAATAGTATGAAAGATATGAATGATATTACCTCATAGGCTACTTCTTCTGGAAAACTTAGCAAATTTTGTAATCTCTCCAGTTCAATGCGGAACATGGATTCTATTTGAGAAACTTCAGCAAAATGAGAAGTAGTTGATAGAGTCGCCCAGTTTCGGCCTTAACAATACAATTGTAGTTTTTTTGACCAAATAAAAAAATTGGTTCTTTCTCTCCAACTACGAACATTTGATTAAAATCGACATTAGTTAATGCAAGAAGAAGATGAGTGTGAACATAAATCAATTTGACGTGTTGTATTAGATTATATTAGAGTTTTGACTTTTACATCCTTAGTCTTGTACATCAATGATTAAGGAATTAAGGGGAAACGAAAGTTTGATTCTACATTTCACTAAACCTTAAACAGAACATTTTTTAGATAATCATAATATGTTCAAAAGATATTATGAATATGCTAATTCTTCAAGAAATCGTTTATTATACCTGGTTTATTATTGGCTACATGAGGTTGAATCATGTTCCGAAAACTTTGCTGAATCTGTTCGCAGTTTGTGTATTGCATAACTTCCCATAAACTCATAGCAACAGCATTTAGTGCTGTAGCGGAAGGAGCTTAAAAACGATAGTTAAGTTTGAGTCGAAAGACAAAAAAATCCTAAAATTCATGAAATTCATGGGTTTTTATTATACTTTACTATTAAAATGAAAAACATGATAGTGAAATCAAGTTCTTATCTGCACGAATGATCATTTGTGAGATTTTATCGTTCTTATAAGTATGGAAAACATATTTATGATTCTTTTTCTTGTTATATTCAACTAACCTATTAGTTGCCATTTAGTTCCACGAAATTCTAATAACAACTGATGCTTGTTGACACCACCTCCAACACGCCATTGCAATAACGTGGCTGATGGTTGTCTACGTAATATTACTTTTGTTGTTCCATCTAATAATGTAAGCGTTCTTGTAGAGACACAAAGTAGTCTTAATGTCTGTAACGAACGCCTTGACTCTAAGATATCTATATCATCCCATCCATCTGTCACGAACTACAAAACTGGGAGACTGTTTTGGAACGATGAGAGAGAAATTTGAAACAAAATCGCAAACTATATAAAAGAAATATCGTTTTGACGCTTCCTATAATTCAAATGTTCGCAATGTTCTCACCTTTCTCAATGTACTGCCATGAACCAATTCTTTAACTTGAAAGACCCGGCAGTCATAAGCTGGCAATCGTTTGACAGTCTATAAATGTTTTGTCTGGTTGTGAACTCTCCGTTTCCTACTTGAATATACAGTTTTTTAATTTGAACTTCGCTGTCGTATACTTGACTATGAAAAACTTTCCGTTTTCTGTGCTGAAAATAGTGTTGTAAATAAATAGAGCTTTGATATCGGGATTCTCACCTTTACTTGCTTTATTGCTCTTATATCACCACGAAGAGCTGGGGGCAAGCATTGATTCTGTATCTTTAACACCGGTGGAGGTTTTAAAACAGAAAACTTGATTCCAATAACCTCTCTAGGCAATAAATGCTCAGGTCCAGATAAACATTTTATGGCTGAAGTGTTCCCTACGCGACTACGCGCATCCCGTCTAGTTTCTTCTGTGATCGCTGGTGGGCCACGCCGGAGAATAGGTGATGTGTTCGAAATCAGTGAAGCTGATGCATCGCTCAGTGGTGGCACAATCGTAGCTGCAGCAACTGCTGCCCTCTCTGGAGCTGTCAATTTTGGGAGCACAGAACCTAAACTGGTTCGGCCTTCTTCGTTTTCTGTCCATGGAGCTAGAGTTATATGTTCTACCATATCCTTGACTTGGACTTTAAAAAAAATTTTCTGCTTCTTCCTGATTATCGTTATTCTTACCGATATCTGTTCTTGCAATACTCCTTCTCAATGCAGCTTGTTGTCTGTTTTTCGGCCACTGCTCTTCAATACATAGCTGAATTGCTGCCAGAAATGTGGCTTCATCTTTCTGGCATGGTAAAGTGCCAGAGATAATTTGCTCTTGATACTGAAAGGAAGTTAATATTAAAACATTAAATGTAGTTTGAAGAAATATACTATATTGAGGACCCTGTTCTTACATCAAAAAACTTTTCGTTGATCTTATCCATAGTTTCCATTTCTTCAGCTTCTTTATTGACCAGATGCTCAGCCACAATATGAAGTATCTCCGCACACCTTTAATAGTTTTCTTACACACCTATAACTCAATTAATCCTCTACCATTGCTTAACAGTTGGATGCTGAGCTGAGTTCAACACCATCCTAAGTAGTTCTGCACATTCTCGCATGGTGGCTTGTATGTCACTACTACTGTAATTGCAACTTAATCAAAATAAGTGATCGAACCAAAATTGCAACCTTCCTGGATAGTTGTCAAGCAAATTTATAATAATTTGTCTGATGCAATGGAAATCAGATGACATTTCATTGATGGGGAGTACATGGCATGGACTCTTCAAATAGTCTAGTAAAAGATGTTACTTCTTACAGCTTACTTCATGTTCAGGAACTTTTAAGCTTTCTCCTGAGTTACGAGAAAGAGCCCGTCTAGGAACTGGGCAGCGAGTACCAATAGTAGAAGCTCTTTTCCTCACAGCGAAGCTGAATAAAAAAGGACCAGAATTATCGGAAGTTATACTAGTTCCTAAACGTCAATATGTTGAGATCTCAGGAGACAAGTTGAATTATTATACCTCCGGAAAAGGTTGAAAGTCTTTGCCCATTACTTGATCGAGATGAACGACGACTCATAACTGAAGAGGCCCTAGACGACCACCCGCCAATAGATGTTTCTAGATACAAAATATGATTTTAGAAGCAATGTCATCAAAAACCATCCGAGCTCTTCCTGCTTGAATTGTAGTTTTTTGTTTGAAGTAAAGGTGCGCAATCAGAATGCTAAGAATCATGATAACGTTTCAGAGAATTTTGTTTATAACAACCTCTGTTGAGCGATTAGTTTCGGGAGGATTAACAAAATATCCAAATTCGAACTGTGAAAGAGCTGAAGCTCTTCTGATTTCAATCTTCAAAACACAAAAGTATGCTATGTAATAGAATAATAATAACTTGTGGGATTCCTGGCAGGGTTTGGGGACTGGCTGTTCGGCAGTTTTCTCCAAGATATGTACGAGCTTCTTCAAGCAGTAGTGCAGGAGATCTATGAATTAGAAATATATAGTTAGTATTGACAACTATCTGTAAATACCGAGGGGGTGAGGCACCTTCGACTTCAACTTCTGGTACATAAGTGTAACCAATTTTCTTATTTTCTATTTCTAATTGAGCAAGTGATTTGGTGGCTAAATGTTCTGTTTCTCGTTTAGTCATTGGATAGTTTTGTAGTTCTCTGGTGAACTCATCCACACTATTGTCACTACCAGATGAATCCGTTTCTTCTACAGTATGGTCTTGTATTGAAAACAGTAGATTTTTGAACTTACTGCTTCTTGAAGATCTCTTACATGGATCAGTTCCCATTCTTGTTCGGAAGAGAGATTGAATATATTTTGGCAGATGTTTTTTACTGTTCGATGATGATGAAGCCGTTTTTTTAGAGCCCGACCCACTGCTTGCATCTGTACCAAGACGACGTCTACGTTCTCTCAATTTATTCTCTTTCGATCCTCCACTAGCTCTTTTTGTTCGTAATATCTCTACTGAGCTAAAAACAATCATAAAATTCTACAATGTACTGCGTTGACGGTTTACCTTGATCTTCTCATATCAATCACTCTCTTAGAACCCCGAGAACCTCCAGAAACTCTTAGGAAGTTTTTGTTCTCCGGTTTGATTATTTCTCGTCGATCAAAAGATTTCGATTTGCAAAACGAACTGTAACGTTTTTAAGCATTAGTTTAACAGTTTGCTGATCTTACTTCATGTTGTCTCCAAGACTACAACTAGATTGAGCTCTAAGATTCTGAGGTTTTTTCAACGTATCTCTACTTATTTTGTTTTTTGTAAATAATCCTGTAAATAACCCAACAATCACAAACTACTGTATGATGAGTTACCTAAATCCCAGGATACTTTATGGAGTAATACTCTTAAAAGTAAAACAGGATCCAATATAAGACCTAGTTGAATCAGTCGGCAGTTCAGAGCGTCTAAAGAGTTCAAGAAATAAACTTTAGCCGTACAGTTATCGTTGTTCGGTTTTTGACCATCATCTTCTGACTCTCTCTGATGATTATCTAATAATAGTTTAACAGTTGTTTTGATTCGAAATAAATCCTACTAAGTTTATGCATCGGTCGTAGCTTTAGGATGTTTTCTTCATTTGATGAATGACGTTTTTCATCACCGTGGTGTTGATTGGAGGATCCGGTGCTCTCGAATCTTTTTTTGTAATGATGAGCGTAAGAAGGAGCCGGTTTCGTCTCCTGCAATAACAAAATGACAAATATGGTCCTATAAAGCTTTAAACCGTTATGCATGGAGTCTTCTTAAGAGGAGGAGAAGATGCTTCTTCTTTTATTTGTTCAGGAATATTGAAGAAACCACTGCTTTGTTTGAAAAACTGAGAAAATAGAAGTCTGAATTCTCATCTGAATCAAACTTACTTCTTTCACTTCATTTAACATTTTAATGACTATTCCTTCAACGGATATAGAGCATTTGGCAAAACTCAACATATTTCGTGGCAGTGTGCATGTTTCACATATGTAAGCATCTTCATTGGGAGTTGCATGTGCATGAGATGCTGGAAAATTATAGATTGTATAATCTTGTTTGTTGTAAGAAGAAAACTGAGAGTTAAGTAAAATATTAAGTTTATATTATACTTGAGCTGAATAAGTTGACTCGATTCCCAATCCGATCACCAAGACCCATATAAATGAGAATCCTTGCAGCATTTTGTTTAACAAAATGTCCATATTTAGTGCTTTGATTTGTATAATACCTTTAACACAAACAATTAAACATAAGGATGCAGAAGTACAATAACCAATCATCGGCTGGTAGAAGCATCTGTACTAGAACATCATCAACTTGGTCGTGTATGAGCTGAGGATGAGTTTTGAGATCGAGTGCAATAAGCGACAAGGTTTGTAAAAGAAGGCATAGCAATTGCTTAATAAAAAAAGATTGAAGCTGAAATAGTGAGTTGTACTTACTGGGTCCATAGAAGGATCCAACAAAGCAATTAGTGACTTGAGAATCGTTTTTTCAGATAAAGCAATTCGGAACTTTCTAAGAAAAACAAGAAAATTCCATTATAAGCAAGTTCTGCTTCATACTTGAAGTGAGTGAGGAATAAAAGGAAACGTCCCAGAAGAACTTGAGGACAGTGATGAACACATTGTCGAAAGCGATGCGCCGGTGAGCAATAAACTCTTCCCCGGTTCTGACTTTCACAGATCGCTGTTTTGAGTGTTTGCAGGACTATAATGATATTCGATTTGTTTCTGCAGTTCGATCGAGCTGTTTTTACTTTGCTTAGGATCCATATCCAGAAATCTGTTTTGTAAATCTTCTTTTCTCTTAGGAGGTGTAACTTTTTCTTGTGTTGCACTCGTAGGACAAGGACAACCAGGTCTGCAAGAAATCAGTGAATCAGACATATTGGGATACTCTTACGTTTGTAATGTAATTTGTTCTTCATGGACATCTAGTTTTTCGTCCAATTCGATTGATTCTGAAGATTTTCATACATATTCTGTGAGAGTAAAGTACTCATTCAGATACCTGTTGAATCAATACGTTTGAAGGTGTTTCGATCAAGTAGTTTAGATGAGAAAAGAGCCAACTCATTAAATGAGAACAAATCGAACACTAAACCAGTATCCACAATCTAATAATGAAATAAACAGAGCGATACCATATTTTATGCTTTCTCTATACCTTGTTCAATGCACTGAGAGCAGCAAACAAATGATCTCCACCAGGCTTTTGCATTAGCATAAACGATACATTCGTTATAATTGTCAAATGGTGTACAAATTCAATTTTTCTCTTCCCACTACCCCTCAATTCTTGATATTCAGTCACAGCTGTCTGTACAATAATTAAAATATATTAAAGGATTCTATTATTTCTGAAATAACCGAAATCAGCCTACTAAGAAGACCCGTTATATGATAATCAAGTAAATCTTTGTCAGTAACTACAGAGGATGAGCCAATACATTTGATATGCAAAGTAAATGATTCCTCAAAGATGAAAAAGCTTTTGAACTGTTTCAAATGTCGACTTACTGTGATATAAGGCATACATTCAGGGTTTTCGGCCATTTTCCGTAGAAGCTCCCATGCTTGCTCCCAACTCATATTTTCGAAAGCAGGATCTAACGGATGAAGAACATAACAAATAAAGATATATAGCTTACTATCACGTGATATTCTTGTTTTACTATTACATAATGATAATGATATGATTGATTTACGTCTAGAGGCTTCTCTTGTTGACATTGTTTCCAGTAAACTGGAAGTCGATGCACTAGGAGCAGCTGAATACTTAGGTGAAAGAGGTAATTTGGCCGAGTTTTTATCAGATTGAGCCGATACTGAAATGAAACAGGTAATTATTTGAAGAAACTTGATTTCTGACCATTATCAGCTGGAACTTTCTTTGTAGTTAAATGCTCACCACAAGCATAGCGGAACAAATCAGTTACACAGCCGGCTTGTAACTTCTTTAGCTCTGGAGCTAAATCAAGAGGTCGAATATTGCGTAAGTTACGCTGTTCGACTCTTCAAAGAACAAATACAAAACAATTAGAATGTAATACAAACTTAGCCCCAAATAGTAGCAGAGCATGCAAACATGTCCAAGAAACTGGTGATTCACGAACAGATATAAGAAGTGGAGAGTTGCCTTCACTATCTTCTGACTCTATGAGAAGACACAATTTAGAATATTATTAAAGATATGAAATAGTAACCAGCATTAATATCAGCACCATAAGCCATAAGCAAAGCAATGAACTCTGTGTTTTGAAGTTTAACAGCTATGCCTAAAGGTGTATGTCCAAAAAAGCAATTGGTACGGATCATCTGGCAGATGCTGCATGATTCAGGAGTGATAGATGAATGTCGCAAACTATAAGTAAATGAGAGAAATAAAACAGAGAATAATCATGAGCCTATACTTACTTAGCAATAGACTGTAGAGAATTCGTTTCTCCAAGAGGACAGAATCCCTTACAAGTACATTTCGCAACAAGATTGGGATCATGTCCGTAGCGTAATAGTATGTCGACTATCTCTCGACTTTTATGAGCAATGGCAAGCAGTAACGGATTGAATATACCACAAGCGCCTCTGATACGGCGTTTTAGAGGACTAGATTTAACATTTAAATTGAAATACCGGGAACTAGAGAATGCTGTCGAGAAGTTACTAGGATTAGAACGACGTTGTATAACTTGGTTCTGTCGTTTGGCAGCTAGATCAGCAATCGTATTCGTACTGGCTGAAATCAGTTCCATTACCGTAACCTTGGTTTTGAAAAAATATTTTTTTTTTCTCAGTCTTCTCTCATATGCCAATTTTGAATAAATTTAGAAAAAATTATATTTATAATAGCTCAATATTGATTAAATATAAATAGATTTTTATAATTTAGTATATATATTAATATTCGCAACTCATTTGAAATTACAACTGAAAGTTTCTGTTTAACTTTCAGCTGCAATGTCAAATTAGCCGAGAATTTGATGTAAGATTTTGAAGGAATAAATGAATATGAAATAGATTTATTTCAGACGGCATTTTACTCTTTACGAATATAATTTTGGTTGTTGCAGTCATTTGCAATCAATTCAACAATTGAAAGTAGATATGTGTATTTCAACCTCTTAATTATATGTTATATGTTATAATATATATATATATATATATATATATATATATATATA